AGAGAGAGAGAGAGAGAGAGAGAGAGAGAGAGAGAGAGAGAGAGAGAAACAGACAAACACACACAAATGAACAATTAAGTACTATACAGCCACACAAAGTACTATTCGAGTTAACAACTGGTTGACTGGTTTGAACAGGAATGGCTCCCAAAGACTCATGTTTTTAAATATTTGTAGCATAGAGAGTGACACTATTAAAAGGTGTGACCTTCATAGAGTAGGTGTGGTCTTGTTGGTGGAAATGTGTCACTGCATGTGTGGGATTTGAGGTCTCAAATGCTCAAGCTATGTCCAGTCTCCTGCTGTCTGCAGATTAAGATGTAGAACTCTCAGCTTCTCTAGTATCATGCCTGCCTGCTTCATGCCATGATAGTGGACTAATCCTCTGAAACTGTAAGCCAGTACCAATGAAATGTACGTGTTGTTGTTGTTTTTGTGAGGTTGTCATAATCATGGTGTAGTAGTACGGGAAGAAAACCTTAAGACAACAACCTACACTGGATATCTTACAGTGTCATAAACCTACAGAGATAAGTAAAGAGATTGAGGGATTGTCCAGTAGAATCATACACATGTATACATAATAAAGGATGGAACAAAAATAATTATCCTAGGTGAGGCAATACAGACCCAGAAAGAAAAACATGATATGCCACTTATAAGCAGATATTAGCTGTAAATAACAGGTAATCATACTTCAGTCCACAGACCCAGACAGGTTAAGTAACAAGGAGGGCTCTAGGAGATACACGGATCTCCCTGGGAAAAGAAAACAGAATAGAATTTGCAGGCGGCCTCAGGTATGGTAGGGATGGAAACAGGAGGGATCAGGTCAGGAGGGGAGGGAAGGAAGGAGAGAGTATGGGACAAGATGACTGGAACAGGAGACTTTTAGCGGGTGATGTGGAAACCTAGTGCAGTGGAAACTTCTGGAATCTACGAGGGTGACCCTTGTGAGGACTCCTAGTAACGATGGATATGGAGCCATCTTCTATAACCAGGCAAGGTTCCAGTGGTGGTATTGGGACACCAATCCAGCTACAAAATCTTTGATCCACACCTGTCCTACCAGCAAGACATGCAGAGGCAATGGTGGTCCAGAGCTTATGGAAGTGGCCAACCAATGACTAATCTAACTTGAATCCCAAGACATGAGAGGGAACCTATACCCTATACTGCCCGGATGGCCAGGAACAAGAAGCTAGATGGCTCAGAGACCTAGTGTAGAATCAAACGTGACTGAGGGGAAAAAAGTCAATGAAATGATTCCTAATGATATCCTGCTATACTCATAGGATCAGTGCCCAGCCCAGTCTTCATCAGCGAGGATTTCTCCAGCAGCTTTTGGGAGCAGATGCAAAGACCCACAACCAAACAATAGGCAGAGCTTGGGAAACCCCAAATAAGACTGGAAACAAAGATCGTAGGAGCCAGAGGGGTCAGGGACATCAGGAGAATGCAGCCCCAGCCCACAGAGACAATAAAGAGTGACCCGTAGGAGTTCACGGAGACTAAAGTGACAATCACAGAGCCTGCTGGGGTCTCTGCATGCATAATGTGCTTGTTTAGCTCAGCATATTTGTAGGAGTCCTAGCAGTGGGAGTGGGTGTGTCTTTGGCTCTTTTGCCTGCTCTTGGGACTCTTTCCCCAATACTGGGTTCTTTGTATGAGGGTTTGTGCCTAGTCTTATTGTATCTTGTTTTGCTGTATTCAGTTGGTATCACTGAGAGGGCTACCTTTTTCTGAAGTGAAATGAATCTGGAGGACAGGAGAGGTTGTGGGGAGACTGGGAGGACCAAAGGGAAGAGAGGCTGTAGTCAGGTTGTTTTTTATGAGAGAAGAATAAATCTTAGAAGAAAAGGAAAATATATACTTGATAAAATTATACAACAGATTATTGGAATAAACAGAATTTTTAGACTCTCCAATCAATGGTGTCCATTATAATTTGTATTTGTAAAGAACAAATTAAGTAAAAGTAGATGGATATTTTGTTAATTTTTAATTTTAAGTGTTTCTTTCATAATTCTGTACAGTGTTTTCTGGTGATATTCACCCCTTCCAGATCTGCCTCGATTTCCTACATACCTAACTTAGTGTTCTATCTTTTTTCCATCCATTATTTCCAATGTGTGCTGCATAACTATATATTCTTGGATATGTGAACTTCCACAGGAATATGGTCAACTTAGCAGGATCTCTATTCTTAAAGAAAACTGACGTTCTCCCAGTAGCTTTCATAACAATAGTTCCTCAGCTAGGGACTTCATGTCCATTTCCCCCTCCATGCCAGGTTTGTTTGTTTGTTTGTTTGTTTGTTTGTTATTTCATGTACTTGTGTATGCTAACACAACTGTAAGTTCATATGTAAGGCTGCCATGCTGTGTTTAGAGGATTGTTCCCTTGCATTTATTCTGCCTCTACCAGTATTCACCTCTGGCTCTTACAGTGTTTTCTTCTTCCCTGACACAATAATTTCAGTGTCTTGGGAAGCGAGGGTGTGATTTAGATGTGTGATTTAGAAATTTAGGATTTCATATTCTACTGTCAAGACAATACAGATGGGAACCATCATCCCTACTGCCTAGATTTCATACAGCTGGAAGGTGTTATGTATAATATCAGAGGGGGAAGATTATGATCAATCTCACTCAGCAATGAAGCCTGTTACTATGAGAACCACTGGCTGGGCAAGGCATGCCCACTGGTTCAATACTAGCACAAATGTCAAGGAAGTTACCAACCACTGTCGGACTGTACTTATGTCCCACTGTGCAAGATGAAATCCACACACTTGGAATCATTGTAGAGCGAAGAACCTGGGGTTTCATGCTTCAGAGGACCCAAAAGAGAACCCACTATTATTAGGCTGCTAAAGGACAGAGTATTAAACTAACTGTTACATATTTATCTTTATATATGTAGATTAAAGCATCCCTCAGCCCTCATCAGAGAAACTTCTATTCATAGTAGAAGGTTTATAACATAGATACCCACAACTTGCCTAAGTACAGAGAACAAGAGACTGAAATGCAATTTTATTCTTAAAAGAGCCAAGAGCCTAATTATGGAAGAACCCAAGTGTTAAATATGAAGTTATAGAAATAATAGAGACTGTGTGAGAAATACCTCTGTTACACTAGAAATGGATTTCTTAAGGATGACACAAAGTAACAGAATCGGCAAAATAAAAGACTGAAAAACATGACCAACCTAAAAGGTTCTAGTCAGCATAAGACTCCACAAAGTATAAAGAAAACCCAGAGATGCTTACCCACTAATGGACTACCAAATACAGACACTCACATATAAGGAAGCCATAGGATGGCCTACGGTAACTGAGTGAGGGATGTACACTGGCAAAAAGAGAAAAGACTGAATAGAACAAAAGAGCAACTCATGCCTGAGAAGGGACTGGAAATTAGGATATTGCAGTGACATTTTGTCTTGAAGAACTCACCAATACCCATAGGTAAAAGACTCACCAATTCATTCAGGGGGTGTAGATTTTTATCCATAGAGATAATCCGAAATTTAACTGAAAAAGGAGAGAGAGAGAGAGAAAAAATTTTCCTGTGAGGTCCAAAGACCCAGGCCTTCTTCATGCCATGTTGAGGATGGCATCTTAATTCCTTTGCCCAATGTAGAGCTTCATACCTGACTGTCCTGGCTTGTACACGGGCTTATCTGTCTGGATGAAAACAACACTTTCTTTGTTCTTCACAAGCACGGTATTATTTTTCCTGAAATTATGTGTTGGTCCTTTGATGTTGATGTCAAGAGACTCCTCCACTTCAGAAGAGGAGAATCTAGGGATCTGAGAACAACAGGAACATGAAACCCTTCACCATCTGACTCTTTGCAATTCTTAGATTACCTCATTAAACTTTTCTCCTTCCACCTCATAGGAAAGAGATGGAGGGCCCATCAGTTTCTGTTTAAGTATTACATGGAGGGAAAAGTGTCAGGAAAAAAAAGGATGAAAAGAAAACACAACCTTTTGTGTAAGTCACTGTGAGTTTGTGTGAGTAACAGCAACACAGACATTTTTAGGGAGTAAATAGAAACTTGATTGAATGTTAGCTCTAAGAAATGAAAGAAAATTAGCTCTAACTCTGAAACTGAGGTAGAGAGAAAGGTAATGTATTAATGGTGGTACGTTGTATGTCTTGCAGATAGGTTCCTAAGAAGAAACTCAGTATTTACTCAGTAAATCAGAATTACACATAGAAGATGTGGTCCTAATTAGCTGGAGTGCTGTTTCAAAGTTTATTAACTCACTAGCAGGAAATACTATGAATTGGAAAGCCCTTTCTTTCTCTGGGCAGTGGGCTTATTTGAGGGAATTCAGTGGGAAAGCAGCACATGCACAAGTATTGACTCCTCTCATTTTGAGGTGGGATGATCTGAGGTATTTGTTTATTGGGTAAATGTTCTAAATTTCTATTGCTTTGAGTTCACAAATATGCATCTAGATTAACCTTTTCTAAAATATCTATTGATACTCTATATACATACTCACACACATGTTCATGAGTATATAAAAAAATCAGGACAAGTATCTAGTACTCACAATGAAAGAAACACAGTGGAACAAGTCCTTGTCAACCATAAGATCATCGAACAGGTATCTTTTACCCCACTGAGATATCAAGGAAGCTGTGACAGTCACTGTCTCATTCAGATGGTAGAGATGGAGGCAGATTTTCTCAGGGGTCTCAGTGTAGAGCTGGGAAGGGGCCAGCACCATATACTTCCTGGAAAGGAAGAGTTTCCAGCCAGTTGATGGCAGATCTCATTGTCTATAACTGGAATTTCATCACAGTAAACATTATCATTCATGTTTGGAAAGCCTGAGATGGCAGGTTGACACTGTGGCAGCTGTCACAGCTTGCCACACAGCAGAGTGGCAAGTAAATTGTCAGTTCATCAATCATCAGCTTCAGCAGTGATAGCTGCCAAGGCAGGTTCAAATGGCATGTACTCCCTGCACTAAGGAGCCAGCACTCAAGGTCTAGAAAGGTTTTATTTTTTTAAATGAAAATATGGGAAGCGTAATTATTCTTTTCATAAAAATTTATCATGATTGTTTTTCATTACCATTTTAAAATTCTTAAAAACATAACTCAATACCCTGTTTTTATTTTCAAGTACTCTTCAACCTAAGAGTTATAATGTGACTGTGAAATTCAAACTTGCATGATTCACTTATGTTACACTTGAGCAAGTGCCAAAGGCTTCTATAGGAATCATTCTCTACATTTTCCTAGAATTAGAGTTTTTTGTTCCCTGAAATCTACCCTGTCTCTCTATATCACAATATGCAAAAATATCACTAGCTTGTTTTTTATTTTTGCTGCCTTAAACATATTTTTGTCATCACAGATACAACAAAAACTTACTTAACAATATAATTCTAATCATATGGTTATCTTGGACATCAAAAAGCAAATTCTCCTAGTAGTTTAATCCAAGGTCTTTGGTCCTAATAGAAATATTGTTTTAGAATGCGAACATCCACAGGTTCTGATTTGCCTGAAATCTTACCTGTCTCAACGTTAAACCATAGGCTGCACATTTCCAAGCAAGAATGTTAACAATTTAAATTTTATTTTCAAAATGATTAATTAAATAGTTTCAACACCTGAGAATACTAGTTCAATAATAAGGGAATCACTATTCTCAATTACACCTCAGTTTAGTAATAAGGATTGCTTTAGAGTTGGAAAAAAACATTACCTGGAATTATGTAATACTAAAGTTGGAGAACATGCATACATCTATTTATTAATTAAAAATCAAAAAGAATTTAGGGTGGTTTTCAGGGGAAGGGACTGCGAGAAGAAAGGAATAGCTTTTTAATTGGAGGAGGGACAATATAGAAAAGGGCCTTGGAGGTACTCACGGGTCTCCACTGAGCAAGGAAGAAGAAGGCAGGAAGGCAAGAAGAACTGAAAAGAGGCACAGCTGAGCCTGTCTGTCCTTCCACATGGTGTGGTAAGAGAGGACAGGAGGACAGGGCTTATGGTGTCCTCCTCCTTAACACTGTGTCCAGAGTTCTCCAATCTACAGCAGCTTATTTATGAGTGAACAGATCTGTTATCTGTATGAACAGAATGCTCTGCCCAAGGTGTACAAATAGCAACATAGAATATTTGCTCTCTGTCAATGTCACTGTGTTCAGTGGTTGCCTAAGAACAACTCAAATAAATTACAACAGTCTCAGGAAAGGTGCCAGAGGAGTTGTGGATGGTGTTGGTAAAGGATCAAGGCCACAGCTTGAGCAGACTCCGTCAGTCCTAATTTCCAGTAAATCTTTGCAGTAGGTGGCTATGCTATGACTGTGTGACATTTGCCACTTCCCTTCTTCTACTCACTTAGAATCTCTCTCTGGGATGTGACATCTCTGTTTCTCTCTTTCCTTATTTGAGAGTCACTAGAATCGTCTAGATAGGAGATTTTAAGTTCTCCTGTCTATGATCATTCAAGCATGTACTTTCATGGGTCTTGTGTATAAAAAGGGGACTATGGATACTGGGCAAGCTCAAAAACTCACCTATTACAAGTCACTGTCCCTAAACCATCTTTGTTAGAACAGAATTCCACAAACCTCATCTAGAATCTCAATTCTCTCTCTACAGTTTAACCAAGTATAACCTGTGCAACTAAAGGTGATTGCTTCAAATGTGGAGGCATCAGTATTTGGGATGCAGCTAGGTTCTTCTTGAAAGATATTAAGATAAGAGTTGAGAACCACATTAGAATTTCTAGACTAGATCATGGGGCTGTTTATTTTTGCAAAGATCCTGTGACATTGGCTTGAGAAGGGCATAGCACAAGCTGAATCAATTATAATGTTGAGGCATTAAGTAAAAAGAAAGAACATTCAAGAAGGTGATGTAAGCATGTAAAGGATGAAAAAGAAATAAAGCTTATGCCTGTCATGGTGGTGCACCCCTTTTCTCCCAAATCTCGGGAGGCAGAGGCAGGCATATCCCTATGAGTTCGAGGATAGCCTGTTCTACAAAGCCAGTTCAAGACAGCCAGGGCTTGCACAGAGAAAACCCTGGTTTGAAAAAAAAAGAACAACACAAAACTTATGTATTTCATTAATGGACCTCTGAATCCCAGTTAATCAGTAGGAGAATAGTACTAGATGCAGTTGACTAGAGTTAATTTGTTGGTTAACTCTAGTCTCACCTTAGGTCAGTTTCTCTAAGATGGAGCCTGAACACAAGATGGAGTTGGTTTGGTCTCTCACACTGATAATGAGAATCAGAGACACCCAGGTGTGGGAGAAACAGAACATGCATTAAGATTTATTGTACATTTTAGTGCTTCAAGTTATGTGTGTGGATCCTAACACTCACAAGAAACAACAACAACAGAAAAATACATGAAGTAGTTTTATATATTTTTTAATTTTTTTATTGGATATTTTATTTACATTTCAGATGTAATCCCCTTTCTCTTTTCCCCCGCAACTAAGAACCGCCTATCCCATCCCCCTTTCCTGCTTCTCTGAGTATATACCCCCACCCACCCTCCCACTGCCGCCTCCCTACCCACAAATTCCCCCACACTGGGGCATCCAGCCTTCACTGGTCCAAAGACTTCCTCATCCACCTGTGCCTGACAATATCATCCTCCCCTACATATATAGCTCGTTCCATGGGTCCCTTCCTATGTGCTCCCAGGTTGGTGGTTTAGACACTGGGAGTTCTGGTGGGTTGGTATTGTTGCATTCCCCATGGGGCCACAAACCCTTTCAGCTCCTTCAGCCTTCTCTCTCACTACTCCATTGGGAACCTCATCATCAGCTCAATGTTTAGCTGTGAGCATCATCCTCTGTATATTTCAGGTTCTGGCAGACCTCTAAGGAGGCAGCTGTATCAGGCTCCTGTTAGCATGCACTTCCTGGCATCCACATCAGCATCTACCTTTGGTGACTGTACATGGGATGGATACCCAGGTGGAGCATTCTCTGGACAGCCCCTCCTTCACTTTCTGTCCTACTCTTTGTCTCCATATTTGCTCCCATGAGTATTTTGTTACCCCTTCTAAAAAGGGTCAAAGTTCCCACATTTTGATCTTCCTTGTTCATGAGCTTCATGTGGTCTGTGAGTTGTAATTTAGGTATTACAAGCTTTTGGGCTAATATCCAATTATCAGTGAATGCATACCATGTGTGTTCTTTTGTAATTGGGTCACCTCACCCAGGATGATATTTTCCACTTCCATCCATTTGCCCAAGAATTTCTTGAATTCATTTTTTAAATAGCTGAGTAATATTCCATTGTGTAAATGTACCACATTTTCTGTATCCATTCCTTTGTTAAAGGACATTTAGGTTCTTTCCAGCTTCTGGCTATTATAAGTAAGGCTGCTATGAACATAGTAGAGCATGTGTCCTTGTTATATGTTGGGGCATCTTCTGGGTATATGCCCAGGTGTGGTATAGCTGGGTCCTCAGGTAATGCTATGTCTAATTTTCTGAGGAACCACCAGACTGATTTCCAGAGTAGTTGTACCAGCTTGTAATCCCACCAAAAATGGAGGAATGTTCCTCTTTCTCCACATTCTCACAAACATCTACTATCACCTGAGTTTTTGATCTTGACCATTCTGACTGGTGTGACTTGGAATATCAGGATTGTTTTGACTTGCATTTCCCTGATGACTAAGGATGTTGAACACGTCTTTAGGGTGCTTCTCAGCCATTTGAGTTTCCTCAGTTGAGAATTCTTTGTTTAGCTCTGTACCCCATTTTTAATTGGGTTATTTGGTTGTCTGGAGTCTAATTTCTTGAGTACTTTTATATATTGGATATTAGCCCTCTATTGGATGTAGGATTGGTAAAGATCTTTTCAAAATCTGTTGTTTGCTATTTTGTCCTATTGACAGTGTCCTTTGCCTTACAAAAGCTTTGCAATTTCATGAAGTTCCATTTGTCAGTTCTTGATCTTAGAGCATAAGCCATTGGTGTTCAGTTCAGGAACTTTTTCCCTGTGCCTAGGTATTCAAAGGTCTACCTCAGTTTCTCTTCTATTAGTTTCTGTGTAGCTGGTTTTATGTGGAGGTCCTTGATCCACTTGGACATGAGCTTTGTACAAGGAGATAAGAATGGATCGATTTGCATTCTTCTAAGTGCTGACCTCCAATTGAACCAGCACCATTTGTTGAAAATGCTGTCCTTTTTTCTACTGGATGGTTTTAGCTCCTTTGTCAAAGATCAAGTGACCATAGGTATGGGGGTTCATATCTGGAACTTCAATTCTATTCCATTAATCTGCCTGCCCATCTCTGTACCTATACCAATACCATCCAGTTTTTATCACTATTTCTCTGTAGGCCAGAGATAGTGATTACCCCAGAAGTTCTTTTATTGTTGAGAATAGTTTTCGCTATCCTGTTTGTTTGTTTGTTTGTTTTTTGTCTTTCCAAATGAATTCACAAATTGCTCTTTCTATCTCTATGAAGAATTGATTTGGAATTTTGATGGGGATTGCATTGAATCTGTAGATTGCTTTTGGCAAGATGGCCATTTTTACTATATTAATTCTTCCAACAAACCCAAAATAGTATAGCCACACAAACATAACTACACTTCTAATAATAAAAATAACAGGAAGCAACAATGATTTTTTCTTAATATCTCTTAACATCGATGGACTCAATTCCCCAATAAAAATACGTAGACTATCAGACTGGATACATAAACAGGACTAAGAATTTTCTGCATAGAGGAAATGAACCTCAGTGACAAAGATAGACAGGGTAAAAGGATGGAAAACAATTTTTCAAGCAAATAGTCCCATGAGACAAGCCAGAATAGTGATTCTAATATCAAATAAAATCAACTTTCAACCAAAAGTAATCAAAAAAAAGATAAGGAAGGACACTTCATACTTATCAAATGAAAAATCCACCAAGATGAACTCTCAATTCTGAACATCTATGCTCCAAATGCAAGGGCACCCACATACATAAAAAGAAACTTTACTAAAGGCAGTTTTATATTTTAACTAAAAATATTGGTTATGTCTATGGTATGTAGATCAAGAGACACATATTTTCCAGACATACTGAAAACAAACAAAAGCTATATCAGAAAAAAGTAGGATATTTTAGTGTGATGGTGAATATTATGTTTAAAAGTTGAAAATTACTATGCTTAAGAGAAATATAAAACAAAATGCCTCTAAACTGTGAGCTCCACTTGCCCAAGGATGGATGGACTTCCAGGAATGCTAGGAATTATTCTTGTAATTACATGATTTGTTTATGTAAGATAACAAATCACGTGTTTCCACTCCTGTAAACAAGTTTGCTTGCCCCTGAAAGCATGAAGGACGTGTGCTTTTCTGCATGTAGGCCAAATGTGTGACTGGTTGTACATAAGCAGGAAGTGCATAGCCTTGTTAGGTTTGCCTTTAAAAACCGCTTGTGAGAGTGCTCTCAGGTTCAGTCCTGGATCCACGAGTTTTTGGTACTGGTAAAAGCTATCATTTTGGAAAGATGAAATATTAATCATTGGTTTTCACATTTTCCTCTATTTCATGCCTCCCATCTATGTGATGTGATGTGATGTGATGTGATGTGTGTGTGTGTGTGTGTTTATGTGTGTGTGTGAGTGTGTGTGTATGTGTCTGTGTACCTGTGTATAGGTGTATGAGTTTCTATGTGTGGTTTAAATCACTTGCAGGTGTGAATAGGACAGAGGTACTATGTCATTTTTACCTTGATTACTGAGACATTTTCCTTGATGCTGAAATTTGTAAATTAGGTGAGACTATCTAACACAGAAATCCAAAGGGATCTGTCTCCTTCTATCTCCATAGAGAAGAGATTATAGGCACATTACTTTTATGCAAGGCTTTTGTGTGGTTACTAATTCTTAGTTCATTTTCTTCCATTTGCAAAGGGTTTTGTCTAGTGAGCTTTCATCCTTGACACAAGAAGGGTAGTTCTGCTGGCTAGGTTCTTATTGCATGCCTTCTTTCATGAGCCTAAATGAACCCACAGAGCATTTGGTTCATAAACATTGTGCCATGATCAATGCTCTTTGCAGCTCTGTAC